TTATAATTTACTCTCAGACAATACATATGCTCTGGTACATTCAGCAAACCCTTATGTTTGCATGAAATTGCAGCAAGTGTCAGTCTGATAAGCACTATCAGATGGTTATGCTGGATTAATTTGAAATTCGTGTGACATAAACAAGTACATCAGGTAAGCAAATAAAGAAATTATCAATTTAAGCAGTGAATTACATCCGAGCGTGTTCAGCCTGCTGGGTGGATGCTAATCAGTTGCCAATTGAAAAAAATCAAAGTAACTTTAAATGAGCAAAGTCTTTAAAGACATAACAGGAGCCTGCACAACTATTATAGCTGTAGAGCTAGAAAGCAACTTCACACTACATGTTGCCATGGTGATAGTATGTCATTCAAACGCAAGGTGAGATCACACCATCTGATAACGTAGCTAAATACTGAAAAAGATAACCTACTCTTGGGTTTGACAACCATGGCATTTACACGAATCTGAGCAAACACCTTTTATCTGCGGACTCTCCAGGGTGTCAGCAGGGAGCATCACTGAGGGCTGTTGATCTAAGATGTGGGCAAGATAAACTCCTCCATCAAATCACCACTGTTCCCTACTAACTGACTCAGTCTCTCCAAGTATAGGCTAAGCAGAAGGGTTGCTGTAATTTTTACACATCAACCAGCCATTGAAAAAAAAAAAAAAAAAGGAGGCAAAGAGGCACTACCCCCTTTCTCTGTTTACAAAACGGCCAAGTTCCACTTGGAAAGTACTACATGGCTTTGCTTGACTCCATGATAACATTTCTCAAGGCACAGAGCTGACTGTATTAGATGAAGGTTCTACTACATTACTTAATTATGTATACTGTTTGCGTAGTAAATAAAAGGCAAAGTTAATAGAAACCTAGAAAAAGCTAAGAGTTCATTTGAAATTAATTTCTTAAAATCATATTAATCCAACTACTCTGACTCCGGTGCACTATAAAGATGCTATAATTATCTCTTCAAAAAAACCTCAATTCCTTTGGTAATAAACCCACAAGCGTATAACCTACTCACACATGTCCTTCTCCAGGGAGGATACCAATGGCTACCTGTTTACAGTGGTTGAACAGTTCTAAAAACAGCCCTTCTTCAAATGCCTGGAGACAGGTGTAATTATGTGCTCAGTATGCTCTCTGTGATAAAGCACATGCTGTAAATATACAGGTACATGCTGATGAGGAACATGAGTGACATGCACTTTTTTAAAATAACCCCAACATCTAAAACAACTTAACATACACCACAAGATAACTGAAATTATATCTGTTTGTTATAGTGAGTTGAACCGGGAATAATATATACATACATGTTAATGCCATGATTATCTAATCAATTCCCAGCTAATTCAGTCTCTAGAAAACAAACAAAGGTGTGGATATTGATATTGTGGTAAAGAAGCTGCCATCTCAAATCCTAAAATACCCGGTAATTATGAAAGAAGTTTCCCTGAAACAACTATCCATCCCTTAAGCAAGGTAACATTACTTTTCCATGAGTTTCATGGTGGCAGATTAAACACTGTCGATCTACTGGACACCTTCCATAGGTCAAACTACATTACTATGCAAAGGCATACAATGAAAAAATCAGTTAACTTTATTTGGGTGAGTAAAGGTTAACTTGCCTTTAGATCAAAGTGCCTGGCCAGGTCTAAATGAAGGGTGAAGTAACATATGGATGAACAGACACTATACACTACCAAGATGAATGGGAGATTATAGGGGGAAAGAAAGCTGTAGCTACGTGTCAGTTTCCCGTGGTCGGTTTTACCCAGCACAGTGAGGAAATGCTCCGTCTGTGACTGTAACGGTTGAGACACATTATCCAGCTCGACCACTACAGAGCGAAATCCTATATTTACTAATGTGAATAACCGGTGCTTTAAACCGCTGAAATAAAACACAATGACACTTAAACTCTTGAGAGGGACACAAATGAAACGACGTTAGCTTTTACGCAAGTTGGCTAAGTACTCATTTAAATGTGGTCAATAAGATGAATGAATTCACTTTGTTTAAACGCTGTCGACTCCGTGTTTTAGCTGCCCCACAGACCACGAACTTTGTTCATTTAAGTTCAAACTTGCTGGACAGTAAACGCTGGCTAGCTAACAGCCGTTAGCTGGGAAACTAAACATCTGTTAACCTAACAGCTAACAAGTTACAAAAAGGCATTAGTGTCCAGCCAGCTTGAATATTTGTAAATGTAAATATAATTTGTCTCGTCACAATGGACTTTTGACAGTTTGATATCTGTCAATACACTTTACATTTCCTGTGAAATAGTTTAAGTTACTTATAGCTACCTACCAAGATAGCAAACATGTGCTAATGTCAGTTGGCTTCAGCTCATTAGCAGGCTAGCAAAGTTAGTAGCAAACCAGCTAACTAATGTTAGCTGTAATGCTGCCGCAGCCAGGTGAGCTGCATGTTACTGACAGTTTTTATGAACATAATGCCAGCACTTACATTCTACAGATAACTGTATTCATGTCGTCAAATAAGTTCAATTTAAGTTGTGTGCCAACCGAGTTTGATTAGCCATCATTAGCCCTCAGCTCTCTAAGCTAACTAGCTATATCCCTAGACTCACCGAGTCAGCTCACATATTCATATGTTAGGATTCCTACCATTTTCACAATTCCTCTTTGCAGAGGAGCAGTCGGAGTAGGGGCTGTCTGAGTTGGTGCCGAAACGGATGCCATGTCCACTGGTTTGAGATATATCGCCGTAAAGGGGTGACCAGGTAAGGGAGCTGGGACTCTGAAGTGAGTGCCTGTTCTACTGAAAGCCAAGAGAAAAAGGCTGACCACCGATCAACACACACGTTATACCGGAAACACACTTTGCCATGCATACACACACGTCAAAACCTTTCCGGGTTCGAGGAGCAGAATGAATGGAAGCGAATGGAGCCTCTTCTCGACCGCGTAGGCAAATTGAAATAAAGTCTTCCGGAGCGAGAGGTGCGACACGTCAGCATAGTGTTAACCCCTAATGCTGCCTTCAAGGTGTGTCGGAAAATATTCTTTCGATAAGCACCTCACACGACGGAAGCGCATTGCATTCACAAAAGAAAAAAAAATTGGACAAAGTAATTATGAATTACGTCCTCAGAACTTGCCCGAGAATCAATGGTTTAAAGATTTCTTTAGTATTAAAGCAATTACGTGATAGAAAAAAAAAAATAAATAAGATATATATATATATATATATGCTTGAAAAAAAAACATTATATTATATATATATATATAAATGATAAGGTAATGATAAGGTAAAGGCCTAAATATTGTAACAGTTGCCATNTAAATAAGATATATATATATATATATATATGCTTGAAAAAAAAACATTATATTATATATATATATATAAATGATAAGGTAATGATAAGGTAAAGGCCTAAATATTGTAACAGTTGCCATAAACAGTTGTAACAGTTGCCATAAAAAAAATAAAATGTTCAGGGTTTTGAGAGCACAATATAGCCTATGTGTAAACAATCTAAAATCAAAAATTTTGCACTTTGGATTAAGTATTCTTAATATACATTGTAACTATTTATTAGTTGGCAGCTGTACTCAATTTTTACCTCTGCCATGAAGGTTTTTTTCACTGGTGCCTATTTTTTTTTATAAGCAAAAAGAGATTTCAAGATTGAAATAATATAAAGCAAACAGGATATAGTTTTAGTCATGACATTCTATTTCTTTTTTTCTTCAGTGTTCTATATAACAAAACAACACATTCATGAAACATATAGACTCTTCTAGTGGCAGACATTTCAACTTGTCAATGTAGGAAAAGCACAGGTGGAATTACCTACGTTAATGCATGGCTGCATTCCATTTTTGTGAGCCTGTTCCAGGGCTCTGGTAATGTCTATGCTCTGTGACTAGGGTGATCTTGCATCAGATGAAAAAAAAAATATTTTAACTGTTCTGTTTTGCGGCAGCTTAGTTGGACATGGCAGCTCCCAGACATGATTGTGAGTAACCGTGTGAGTGGGAAGCAGGGCATTGGACTTCTTGAAAAGGACATTCATGCTCGGGGGACCTACTCCAAATATTTGGAAGCCAAATGCCTTGTTATGTTTTTATATATCATGACTTTTAATGCTCAGGCATTAATTCCAGCAAGGAGTAACTCGTAATGACTGCTATGAACTGTGTGTGAGAGAGAGAGACAGAGACAAACAGATGTCTAGAACAGACAGAGATGGATAGAGGCTGGATACCCACTATCAAAGGAAACAAAAAAAATGTACACATTGTTAGATGAACAATATTTCAAAGACTCCAGAAGACTTTCTTCTTAAATTTGTCCATGTGATACAAGCGTTGTTGCAAACAATCCCCTTTCTCAACTCAATCACCTCTATGTCTATGTGCATGTATACACACTGCGCATTGTAGAGGCTAATATAAACATATGTGAATTGAAGGGTGGAAATTATGACTTTGCACAAGTATTTGTGATTCTGTTTGTATGTTTGGATGTTCAGGCCAGTTAGTCAGTAGTTGTTAGGGGAATTTTAACTGCTTGTCAACAACTACAAATTATCCAGCTAATATATTTTGATATTAATGCAACCTATTTATGTACCATATTAATCTTGGATAATTCAAGCAAGCTGCCAATTGCCAGAACATCTCCCATTTTTGTTAGTCCTAATGAAAATAAGTCGGCTGGAAACTTCTAACTCACTCACTTCAGCAGCTTCAGGAGAGAGGTTGGTATCATGCTGTCACCTGCAGGGAAAAAGAAAGAAAGAAAAGATGGTGATTTACATGATACATTATGGATGAGCAATCAGATTAGATTTTATCCTAAATAGTATCATGCTGAATAAATTAATGACAAAATGATGCAGTATCTGGCGAAAAAAAAGTGAAGGCACTCATCATCTACATTTTTATGAAAATAAAAATAGCAAAATAGGAAGAGCTGTACTCACAATGCAAAATTAACATGAAAGATAATCATGCATGAACAGGAGCCAAAACACATGCATCCTAACCTAACACTGACCATAGGTACGTTGTATTAAAATTGCCCACTGTGTTCCTCTTCTGGTAAATCTGTAACTGTCATAGGCTGTGCGGTTCCTGTCTTCCTGAACAGCAGGGGAAGATTAACTTGGGGAATTGCTAAAAAATCTTTGATGTACATTCGTGGATTAATGTATACAACCTTACACACTCTTTGGCTAATGTGCATCATAGGGACACCACTGTAGGTTTCTGACATAAAAAACTGACATAAGCTATATCATATAGGCCTGCAGAAGGTCACGTTATTATAGCGTGCTGCGCAAAGTTTTAGGGAAAAAAGCTACATTTGTCATTAACTAAAGATACTCGGGAGAGCAGGAGTATCGCTGCTTGATGGACGTTTGATGTCATTTAGCCAGCTTGACATCATTTTTATGCGTGTCTGAGTATCATTGCACAGTATTCATTTAAAACCTATTACAAGTATGAAAAGCAGAATAAAGTGGAATGATCTCAGTCTGTGGACATACAGGAAAATATGGCGAATAACGAGAATTTGAGACATTGTTTACAAATTACCCATTAAAAAAGGTTTTTGTCCTTCAACGAGCTGGTGTTGTTAGTTCCAGACAATGGTGGACGATTTTGTGGTGATGAATATTAACTGTTGTAATCCTAATTATCCAAGTTTGAATCTTTAAATGAAAAGGTGGAAACTAAGATTAAGGCCACATCCTTGAACGTCTTACTGTAAAACATTTAAGACACAGTTAAAATTAAATGGCAGGTTAAGACAGACGGTTTTTGTGGTGTAGCTTCCTGCTGAAATCGGCACATTTGGCATGACAATGGAAAGAAAAGAGGTCTGTTTACAATAAAAGACTTAAACACTCGTCTGCGTTAAAAGAATAGTCAAGAACATTGACTGAAGTAAAAATCAAAAACATGGACATTACACGAAACTCTTTGCTGTCTCAGAACAGGAAGGAGAAAATTGCCAGACAAGCGAGCATGGATGCAAGTCCCGTTGCGCACACGGCACTTCGGTGCGCTTTGGAGAGGTTTTGGTTACCTTTTTACGCGGCTGAATTATTCACATTTTCCAACACTTCAGGACACAGCAAAGGGCGGATATATGTGTTTTATACACAAGACAAACACGTAAGACGTCAAATCTCAATGTTCACTCGTTCTGTGGGATGATTTAAGCGCTTAAACTCCCGCCCCTTCCTTTGGCGAGCCCAGATTTAGATTTACGCACCACGAATATGTGGTGCTGTCGTAACAACACAACCTAAGTACTTTAATCAACCTCGTTTGGCACACACTGTACGTGCAATAAAGTACTATAAATCAATGACCACATCAGCTCCCCGGTAATAAATAAAAAGGCTTGCCTTATTTGTCCTTTGTCTCGGTTGGCAAGGAGATGATGGTGTCCAAAAATGGCCGTCCTCTATCTAACCTGGCTGATTGTACACAGAGAGTATTATTGTCCTCTAACTCATGGTTAATGTATAATTTGGGCCATATGGCATTTTAAAATGTGAGCCTTTATTTCGGTGGCACTTCGATCTGTGTGGACCCAACTAATGATATTCAATTAGTCATTAAACAGACCAAAAGACGAGCCTTGTGTGGGTTTTTCACATAGGCTAATATTTGCTCGTCAAATATTTCCCTTTGAAACGTTTACAACGCATTTTTATCTGCTGGCTGCCCAAGGAACATCTGTGAGGGTTATTTTAGCCTCCCTCTTATGGATAAACGAGGTCCCCCAATTGGCCCTTTCCTTGCACCCATATATGAGTCTATTTGTTCACGTTTTGAGAGAAAATGTAATAAAGAGAGACAGCGTGATGGATTTATGATTTATCAAAAGCACTTTACCATATGGCAGTCGTCATTGGAGCAGATTTCCAAATGTTTGTTTTATGAAAGGAGACCAGAGATCCTTTTAATCCGAGCCACTTCACCTGGGAAAGGATGCTCAAGCCACGTGACCACAAGGCCCCCCTAAAGGATGGGAAACATGCTAGTGTTGACTATTTAGGTTCTTTGAAAGATGGAATTTCCACCTTCATTATAACATGATAACATGCACAGAGGCAGAAAATTTAAGGGCTGGACAGTGCTGCACTGAGGAAGAGAGTTTGTCTGATTGAGCCTGTGGCCGCTGCGCAAAAGGAGAGCAGTCTGAATTCCCCAGCTTCAATATTACGGTTGACTTGCTGATTACAGCAATACACAGACACGTTGAATCAAAAACACAGAAAGTGTAAGAATTCAGAGGTGGAGATATTTGTTTATAGCACTGAGTGAAGTGCCACAGCCAAGCAATCTGGTGAAATGTGGTCAGGTGCTGTCGATTCAATTTTCTGGTACAGCGATATGTAATATGTCACCAAGACAAGACACTGCAAAGACGATTATGTCATTTCTTGTTAAGTGATATCTTATTGTATTTGGCTTCTTCCAAACAAATGCAACTCAGAGTGAACAAGTTTTCTGACCCATATTTTATTATTTACATTTTATTGGATTTGTAAATGTTTGATGTGCATTATAACGAGACACAGCTCATTGTTGGACTTATACTCGGGCTACTTGCTGAAGGAATCTCTCTGAATCATGAATTTCCATGACTCAGTCGATACCTCTGCATGTTGCTTAAACCAAAAATACTGGACATTTGTTTTTTAAAAAAAATTCCCCAAACATATTTGAAATAATACAAGTACATTTTTAAAAACATTTTGTCAGCAGAGACCTGCTCATCTGAATCCCATTTTAACTTTATAATGCTCCCATTCACTTCCAGGCAATGTTGACATTTCTGGTAACAGGCCACCACGTCATGTTGAGGTCTGCAGGCCTATAAATTTCTGCTGAAGGGCGTGATCCATCGCAGTGTCATTCACCAGAGATACCTGGACAATTCTCCCACAAGTTGTTACATTTTTCTGTTTTTCTCTGTTTTCTTTTTCCTGGGGACATCATCACTTGACGAATTTAGTTTTTGGAACTTTTATCATCAAGTCTGGGAGCCAGCGGGGATGTGCGGAACAAACACTGATCTGCAAAGTAAAGGTTAATTTTTACGATTCTATTACGCACTTTAAGGCTGTTATTAGAGTTTAAAACCACGTGCAGAGACTTTGATGTGCAGTAAGGACAGATTAGACAGTAAATATCATTTAAGAAGTCAATTTCTATAGTAAGTAAGCAATTTAAAGAGACATTTAAACAATAGAATGTGTTATGATAAGGTGGAGGACGTGTCAACCAGCTAGGAGGGATGTTTCTCAACGGCAGACCTCTCCCAGAGTCCAAGAGGAGGAAAATGATAGAACTGGCCTCGGAGGGAGTCCGTCCAAGCCAGATATCCAGGATACTTCGGGTACGCAGAGCTGCACAAATAACCACATTTAGGCTTTTTGGAGAAAGAAATTGTCCAACGCGTCTTGCTGCACCGCGAGGTCAGTTTCAGTGACTAAAACCACCAGTGCGTCAAACCACTGCATCTTTCAGGTGTCCAACGGGTGCGTCAGTAAGATCCTGAGCCGTTACCGCAGCACAGGACTCCTCGAGCCGAAGACCATCGGAGGGAGCCGACCTCGACTCCTCACCCCCGGTGTCATCTCCACTATAATCCAGTGCAAGAGAGAAAACCCAACTATTTTCGCTTGGGAAATTCGAAAACGTCTGGCAGCAGCACGAATGTGCAAGGTCTCGAAAGTGCCCAGTGTAAGTGAGACTTTAACTCATTAGTTTCAATGTAACTGATAATTTTCCAGTATTTGATGATATTTAATGTGTTCTACAAGGTGTCATCTATAAATCGGATTTTAAGAAAGATCCACTTGGACCACGGACCCATGTGCATGGAGATCAACAGAGGTGAGCAGGGTGAGTCACCTGACAAGGTCACTGGAAATCTACTGACGATAAGGGAAAGAATGGAGGGGAGCTGATGACTCTTAACAGGAACAAAATTACTAGTATAAAAGGACAAAATGCATCATTTCCCAAATAATCTAATTTGATTCATCTTGGTTTAGTATACTGATGTAATGTGTGTGTGTGTGTGTGTGTGTGTGTGTGTGTGTGTGTGTGTGTGTGTGTGTGTGTGTGTGTGTGTGTGTTTCATGTGCAGGTCTTGATTCTTTGATTCAAGAAGAAGGGAATCAGAGAGAGATGTTTGAGACAGTGAGCAGTAATGACCAGAAACCTAAAGGTGTCCAGCAGCGAAACCGCACCACCTTCTCCCCAGAGCAGAGCAGAGCACTTGAGCAAGGTGAAGCCAAATCTTTACAACCGTATGCATGTGCCAAACTAACACAATACTGCATTTTTCCCACTCAGAAAAGCTGTTAAATATAATGCTTCTATCTCCTGAATCAGAATTCTCTCACAGCCAGTATGCAGACATGTACATGAGAGAGAAACTGTCCGCCAAAATCAAACTTCCTGAAGACACCATCAAGGTAGAGTCATGATTTTCATCATCTAAATGTTCATTCAAAATCACAGCTTCTGCTCTTGACATGACTGTGCGTCTTTCAAAGGTCTGGTTTTCAAACAGACGGGCTAAATGGAGGAGGGAAACCAAACAGAGGAGTAGCGCGCAGAGTGAGTGTGTGCATGGAAAGGCCTTTGTGTGATGCTATCACTCAGCGGCAACAAAATGGATTGAACTGAATAGTAAATGATTTGACAAAATGTTTTTGTCCTTCACAGCTGCAGACCTTCAAAGGCAAAGACATCACGTTCCGACAGTGTGTGTGAATCCAGCAGTGACACACAGCTCCACATCGCACCAGGTACAGTGTGAATTAACACTTTTTTTTTTAATCAAAAACTTTGTGTTGCCTATGTGTTCATGAATATTTAATGTTTAAACTTAAAATCTGAAACCAAGAATTTGTTGGGTTTTTTTTTAAATGTAATATTGTTTAACTAATATGACTAATATGATTTTTTAAAAATGGCATACTGTATAGTCACATTAGGACTATGTTTGTGTTGATTTGAAGGCAACAGCTGTGCCAAGAGTCTACTGTCAAAACCCAGAGGCCTCCTCCTCATACAACACAGTTGCCAGGAAATTGCACAATGGCTTCATTTTTCCAACAGAGACAGGTAAAACCACATATCATATCATTGTGTTTCATTTTCTCTATAGTATTTGATTGTCTGGATTCATGTTGAGGGAAATAATGTTTTCATAAAATAGTGACATAGGTGTTAAAGGTGTAAGAATAAGTGTAACTGTAATATCTAGCTATAGTGGGAGTAGCCATAGAAGTGTCATTCCCAGTGACACCTGGGCTTCCATATCTTTTATTTTGTCATTGCTGTACTAAATCTGCCTTGTTATTACTGTATATAATTTCTCTGCTCCAGTTTAATTTAATAGGGTAAATATTTCTTCTCTGAACGTGATTATTCATGTGATCACTTGAGAGCTGCTATGTTATTCCTGCATTTGGCTGTAATAGGAGCAATTCGCTTGATAAATGTGTTTTTTGTTTTTTCTGGCTCCTAAGAAAATTTTTGAGTGTCATTCTTTTAAGTTTGAGGAAGTTAACAAATTTCACTTCTAACTAATTTCATTCCTTCCATCTGATGTACAGGTATCAGAAACTCTGAACGTCTGACATCCATCTCAGTGCCACCCTCATTCCTCCATCAGTCAAATAACACGGTGATCCAGAACATAGACAAGAGTCCACTGGCTCTCCACACAGATAGATTCACCCTCCCATTGGTTCACCATCCTTCAGACACAAGGACACCGCTCCCTCTAACAACGGAGACAATAAGAGCAGAGTGCCCCGTGACTCACTGCTGGAACCAGCAGGGGGTTTCTTTTACTTGGAGCCAGTTTCAAACAGATGAGAGGTTTCTGTTTGCCCAGCAGCCCTGGGATGTGAGTCCACACTAGCACCTGGACTAATTGTGACCATGTCTCTGAGTATGTTTAATGTTCTTTTGATCACTGAAATCTTTTTGTTCGGGTGCCGCTCAATGTCTGGGCTGGAGGGACAGATCCTGGCCAGCAGAGGGCGACAAAGGACTGAAGTTACAACCTTGTCCCTTACACTATTTTTTTTTTTTTTACATAAACTGCAGCTTCATTTATCACTTTTCTGTGAACCTGTTCTCTTGAAATGCCAGTAATAATGAATAAGGAGTTAGAGAAGGTCATATCTTAAGTTTATTCAAAAATTGTTGAAGTCTTTCATTGGTTCCATCAGACAACGTGATGGGTTTTAAATCCACTGAGCTGACTTGTAAAGAAGACAAAGTTGATGCAGCTCTATAAGACATGAAGTGCTGAACAAAGCTGGACAGATAGGATGGTAATAAATATTTTTACTGATGTGAATTTCCAGAAAGTAAGGTGTTATGTGCCAAGGTGTGATGAAGCCAATAAACACAAGTTCTGCTTGAGAGAGTGTAGATTTTAGAGGGTACATTTAATGCTGATGGATAATGTTATAGATGCTCTACAGTATATCTGGTCAGTGATGTACTGTGATTGTAACATAAATCATAGCTCCATGGATCATTTAAGGTGACTGCTATAATAATATATGGATGTTATCTCTTTTATAGTCTTGGGCTTGCTGTGTGTTTGAATGCAGAAGGCGGTTCAGGGGCCCCTCCAAGACTTCTTTCCAGGGATGGCCAGTGGGAAAATCTATAAAAGTATAGCTTCAAAAAGTCTAAACATGATCTGATATCTGCTCCGCTCTGTATCAGTTTTTATGACTGCAACAGGGCAGAGGCATTGAATTCCTTCATATCCCTTTACTGCAGCGAGGAGACAGTAAGACTCTTGAGTTTCTCAATAACTGGTCAGCGGGGGAAAGGTTGGGATCAGAAGGCAAACAGCTTGGTCAGCAGCACGGAAGTGGCCTACTGGCAAAATGACCTGTCGGAATTTAACACTGTGAAGCCACATAGGTAGATTACACCTCCACGTGTGTTCCTATGTAAATCATCTGTGAGCCTTCTGAAGTGCTTTAATTACATTAATGAAACAGGAATATCATTTTCTCACATCGCACATAAATTGAGGCCAACTTGAATATTACTGATAGTGGTCGTGGTTACCAATGTTACCAATGGTGGTAGAAAATTACTAAGTAGTAGTAGAAGTAGTAATTTTGAAGTACTGCTACCCTTATGTAAAGTCTTTGAGTGGATGCATTTTACTGGAGTTTTCACATGCAAATGTAGGTTTTTACTCCACTACATTTATTTGACAGCAACAGGTATCACTTACTTTACAGATTAGGATTTTACATTAAAAAATCCTATGATTAGTTAATAAAATACAATCAATTTTTGTGTGGATTGTATCCATTATAAACCAGTGGTTCCCAGCCTTGTTGGTTTTAATCCCTGACTAAAAAAGCAGTGTCTAATTGGGTCCACTTGTCTGTTAGCAGTTACATTAAAAAATAATTAAAGTTTTGTCATGGTTTCATAACTGTTCAGGGCTCAAAATGGGAAAATAATCTAATATTTCACAATATAGATGATTAGAAAAAATACACAAAAAGTGAATACAGATTTGTCTTGCAGAACTTTGTTTTTCCTTCTTTTATAATGATCATCTCACGACCCTTGTGACCTTTTGGAGGAGGAGGACCCCTAAAATGGGAACAACTGGACCAAACCAGCTCCAGATTGACCCACTACAACAGTAAAATGTTGCTGACACATTTATGCATCAGTCTGACGAATCTAATAATGTCATATATTACAATATATCAGTCACAAGGGACATTTTTCTCCAGAATTAGTACTTCTGACACTTTATGGACATTTTACTAATGATACTTATGTAGGATTTTGAATGCAGGACTTTTACCTGAACTGTAATATTTCTGCTTCCAATGACAAAAAACAGTTTTTATCTCAATATAATAATTTGACACAAGCATTAATCTTACATTTGGAGCATTAACTATATCTTATCTCACGTTGAGCAACCAAACGTTTCAGAGTTGCTGAAAAGCTTATCCGAGTTCAACTGTATATCACTTAAGCCTGGGATGTCCAAATCTGTTATCCAAATGTTTCTTACGACATGTTGATATTTATGCTCTTCAGTGGTTCTATGGTTAACCTCTACTGCTTTCAACAACTTAAGAATATTTATCATACACTAGAATCTGCTGCTCAGAGCGATATTGGGAGTAAACTGCCAAAAACTGGGTAAACAGTTTCTGAGTGTGTTGCAGGCATCATCCTTACACTATATTACACTGGGGAAAATGTCAAGAGAAAGGACCAGAGGTACAGGACATGACGACATGTGATGTCAAGTAGTTTATTAAAATAGGAATAATACAAAGGCTACAAAATTCAGAAAAGGTCATATAAACAAACTCACTAACACAAAATAGCAGCTGTTACATTTAAAGTTTACATTATACAAATATATAAACAGAATGATCATGAAGTAAAAATACTCAAGTATGATATTTACAAAAATTACAAATTGTCATTTACAGGCTATTTACATTAAGGTAAATTAAATAACAGTTACAACTCCATAAGAGCATGGTTGACAAGAAAACAGATCAATTTACAACACAGTTACATGATCTGCCACATAACTAAGAATATTTGGCGTTTGGTTTCATCTGTGTAATCAGTCAGTCGTCTGCAATGAAGCTTCCTTCCTTTAAATTGCTGCTTCATAGACCTTCAGCTTGGCTGTAACCTGCGCGAGGCGATTAGATAATAGTTGGATATTGTTAATGTATGTACCATTTTCCATGTGATCTTCAGAACAGTCATCTTGGAGCTGAGAAGAGAATTTCACGCTCTAATTCTCGAGTAATGGCCACGCAAACACGGCGCCACTAAAATACACTGCTGTCAGTGAATGGGAATCGCAGGGCCACTGGATCATCATTTATAATCTGACTATCTGCCTCATCGGAAATTTTTCCCAGTTTAAGTACCAAAAGTGACCAACAGGAAGCCACTGATTTCATATCACCTGTAGTGGTTTGTTCCTTATTGAGTGGGCTTCGTTGTAGCTAAAATAATTGTGCCTGAACTTGTGGTTTTTTCTTTGTTTTTTAAATGAACACATTCTTTTGCATCTTTGACTGTTTTTTGTGTTTGTCAGTAAATTCCTGTTCAACTTTCACTTCCTTTTAAATGGTCCCCAAATAAACAAGCTTCAAATTTACCCCCGGGTACAACAACACAAACTTAACATGAAAGAAGCGACCTAAATTTAAGAAGTTTGACAGTCCATGACATATTATTTTATGTTTCTGTGGCTTTCACCTGGGGGTCAAACATGCACCCAGTCATTACGGGGTATTTAATTACTCTCAAAAACCAGGTACAACATCCAAATCTGGACTTTTCTGCAATGTCTTCTGCCAATTAAAAACAATAAATATAACTAACTACTGCTCACAAACTACCAGTCTCTTTAAATATTAAACATAATCAGAGGCAGGACGAAGCCAATCTGATATTACCAAGCGAACCAAAAATATTCCAGATCTATAAGACCTATAAAATCTTACAGCACGGCAGAAACATACTCAATAAATCTGCAGTTATGTACATAAGGAGTCACTTTCCATGAAATAAAAAAAAGTATAAAATATCCTACTGACCACACACAGCCCGCCAGGGGCCACAGTTCCCTCCAAACTGGAGACCAAATAACCATGTTATATTTGGCATGGCTCTTCTCTCTCTCATGCTTTAAATATTAGCATAAGATTTGGAGCAGTTCGCTCAGTCCTACTTAGACCCTCTCATGGGGAAACTAACAGTTACAGCTAACTGGGGAAAAGGTAGTCCAGCTACTGCACACAATTAGCACTGAATGGTTTGCCAAGGCTGCTGCAGTTAGCTTTTCGAGCAGCAATAGTGTATTTTATATACTTAACCAATGGTATATCTGAAACCAATTACAGGTTTTCTCATTGAGACTTTAGTGTCTTTAATACTAATTTTAAAATTACTTTTTCATGCCTATATTTTCTTCCTTTTTGGTCTGACCATAGTTTTGTTTGTTGGATATTTTTAGTTGTTGTGATATGTGTTAGGTATCCTATAACTTAGTATATGTGTTGACATTATGGAACACCATTTCTGTCCATCCACATCACTTGTGTTGGAGGTAAATTACATTTTGCAGTCCAGCTCAACACATTTCAAAAAAAAAAAAGAAAGAAATCCCAGAGTCACAGAAGGCTACCTTGAGTGGTATCCAACAGGGATCTGGGTTCAGTCCACATTCAAGTATATTCCAGGAGATAATACTGAGTCACAGGTGTCATTCTCATTATCTTTGCTTGCATGGCTTCAGAAATTCTGAACATGTCAAAATACAATTAGTACGCCGTCCATGTGCCCGGGACTTTGGTTGTAAAAATGGTATTAAGGCTAACAACCTGCAGGTCTTTATCTGCAAAGTGGAAGAATTGGTGGGATTCCATTTTATTATATCCAGTCTTCAACCACTAGTCTCTGTCCTCTCCGCGAAATGACAAATTCAGTCACAAAATCCCAAAAAGGCCACTTTCCATAAGGCGATTTTCCGAATTTCTCCCCCGTGGTCCATGCTGGAGAGGTCATGGAGAGGTCTTGGAATTTTCTGGCCCGCAGTCGCCCCTTTCTCCTTGCAGGCTGTGGTGCAGCCCTGCATGGAGCTGATTTTCACACCGCAATATCTTAGTTCCTCTCCAAACTGGGGTAAAGTTTGAACACTTTATATATCCACTCTGAGTAGAAAGCAACGTTGACAAAAAGTGCAGGCTGCGATGAGGCACATTTTGTCCTTTGGATGCTCACACCGATGATGACTTTGCGCTCATGTTCCTGGCAGACCAATGGACCTCCATTGTCTTTCTGCAAGACGGCACATTAACAATGATTATACTCCACTGTACATGTTCAAACTCAACCAAATTCCAAATGATGGAAAAAATTGTTAACCATTTTCATTGGGACTATTTCTTCAGCAGAAAGTAGTTCCAAGGAAAATTAGATACCTAGCCATGCCATGGTATTTGTTATTTGGGTGAATGACCTTTTGAATACTCTACATTCATGTTGTATTCATCTGTTTCATGATATAAACATTGATTTGTGACACTTACATCACATACACCTTCTCCTCTATTGCCACCGGCACATATTCTGCTCTCCCCAGCATCCCCTTTGATTTGTGAGCACATGTCATTGTTGACCATAGGCATCGTTACAGTGTTCAGTGCCTCATCATATCCTGTGTCTGAAGAGAGAAGAAAAACACAAACCAGTGAGTTTAATGGGTTAAACATACGCATTTTGTTTGAATAATGGTTGAAATGGAAGGGGGCATGGCATATTGGTGAAAGAAGGCAGTACTTTTGGTTTCCCCCCATCCATACATGGTGCAGTTGGTGCCTTCGGTGATGTGACAGTCTTTTACAGGAAGATGGATAGTGGAGGCACCCTCCGACACAGGCGCAGGACTAGAACATACATAACAGTAGATCACGTATAGTCACTTAACATGCTGTATGCAGCCATCACAGAATGAAACGAGGTCTTTCATGCATTTAGAGGGCCAAAGTTAACCAAAATGGCTTGGCTTGTGGTTAGAACAATACAAAGTTTTCCATAACACATGTTCTACCCTAACATTAGGATCTTAAACATCAGTGGAAACCGTCCATTTGGATGACAACTTACTCTGCTAATTTCAGCATAACCAGGTTGGATCCCTCTGGGCCACAAATCAGACGAGAGATGCGTAGTCTCGGGTGGCTTGAGGACTCATTGAGGTGTCGTAGACCAACCTGCACGCTGTAATCCCTGAGATCTGGAACGCTGAAGACCACAAAGTCCAGTGTCAGATAGAAACCTACAGTATTGGTGACTTGATGATTTCACTGGCCAGTGATTAAACTAATTTGATTAGATTGAGTGATCCATTAAGGAACCATAGAGAACATGAGCCTTACATAGATCTACAGTGGTCTTACTTTTAAATATTGCCAAGACAAGTTATCTGTGTTACTGTACTGCATGTGGTCAGTTTAAGTATTTACAAAATGTCTCTACATATACAACAATTTTAAACACAAAATTTTAAGGAACTTTTCGGAATTTGCCAATGTGCAATAACAAATATGATATTGGTAATTTAAATATTAAAAGTAATATTTTTTATAACAATCCTTTGCATAAACTTTCAAAGCACAAAAGCAAGAAAAAAGGCAATGTTTCAGACAAACTGTGACCCACTCCACAGCACACACTGCAGCTACAAGTATCAGCTAAAAGCTGCTGATCTACACCATATGTAATACTTACAGTACTGTACATTACTACAGAGATAGGGAGGTTTTCATTAAAGCCACCGCTGCAGATGACAGAGATACTATGTGCACAGTATATGAGTGGCTCTGACAACTGCAGAAGTTAAACAGATCTCCAGTCCAAACTATTTTGTTCTACATCTCAGGTCAGACCTGTCTGGGAGGGGGTAAGTCTTAGTAAACAGAATCCAGCCTGCATCTTCACTTTAAACAATATTGCAAGAAGCATGATTGACAGATATGTAAATAGAGAGTAAATACACACGGTAAATGAGAAAAGGATTTTTGGTGAAGGTGAGGTCAGAAATAGAATAAAAGCGATAAATTTCCGGGGGTGGGGGGTGGGGGGCTACTAGGAGTATCAGAGGGTGGAGTCTTACCAGGAGGTGAAGCACTGTTGGTCTGTCAAAACCCAGTCTTCTCTGATCAGTGAGCCACCACACAAATGAACCTTCCTAAGAAAATTTAAGAGGACAGTTTTATTCATTACAGAAGGTAGCATAAAGAGGGATTAAGCAGATTCTGTAAAAACATGTAAAATGACTCACTCTCTTTGGATGCTTACAACCCAGCCACCATCGGTACCTTGCACTTGATGTCCTCCAACTATTCTGGTGTTTATATGCACGAAGCATGATATCTTGGGTCTGGTCAGAGCTAAACAAGGAGACATTTTTGATACTGTATGTTAGATGAATATATTATTTGCATTTCAATGGGAAAAGATTTATTAAAACTTCAAAAGACAACCATAAAATATGATTTGTTTAGTTAGGTAAATGACAACAGACGGATTTCATGTAAAGAGTTAAAGGAAAAGGGACAAGATTAGAGATAAGAAGAGGAGGAAGAGGACTAGACTGGTAAAAGCCAGATAAGCAAAAATGATACTCACTGTTTGGCTGAGGAGCCACTGTAGCTGATTCACCTGATAGAAGTAAAAGAAAAGCACACCAGTAAGAAGAGACGCCACAGCAGCGGAAATAATTCAGACCTCTGACCATACATTGACACAAAAAGCATGAAACCTCATTGAAAAAAGACACCTTTCTTTACTTTATAGAGACTTAACTCAGAATCTGAATCATTGTTGGAGGCTATATCAGTTAGCAACCGCAGAGAATAAATTTGCTCAAGACCTCAGAAACTTCATGGAAGACATGTTTTACATTATGGAAATTATTGTGCAGGCATTCAAAAGAGTCTCTTCAATGCGACCCGATTGAAACCAGCCAAAGAAAATGTTGGGTCCAGCTGCTTGAGTATGTGTTTTCTCAAATAAAAGGATGGCAGCAGTGACCTGCATCTGTTTGCTGTTTGAACATCATGTATTCTCTCTGCCAATTGGACAAAACCACAGCTAACACATTACGTAAGCCACCAGCAAAGCTGCATAAAATAAAAGTTATGACATATTATTTGGCTTTGATAAAGTCTACAAAGCTAAATCACTTGTGTTATTTCATTGTACTTCACTCATACACCAACACTGTCTTCTTCTATATACTTAATGTTAATGCATGCTCTTTCAGAAGTGCTGTTTGGACAATCTGAAAGGCTCATGCAATATCTACTCCGTGTATACCTGGAGGATTAAAGGAGTCAGGAGGCTTGATCAGGACAAAATCATCCTGGGGTGACACAGGAATAACTTCCTCAAGTGTAAATATAATTAAACATGGGGACAGTTTAGGAGGTTATTTTATTCTGAATGTTTACAGGAAGCAGAAGAAGCATTAGCTTCCAGAAGTGCTATTAGTTTCTTTTCAAGACTTTCTCCTGACTTGCCTCACATCCTGATACACATTCCCCATTGTTCATGGGCTTAAGACAAGCAGTCTTAATGTCTGAGGACATGTAAGATACAAGCCTACAAAGGCTTTTTTAAAAGCAAATTAAATTAAACACACACCAGGAAATCTGGCAAACTGTTTGCTACTTTTTAAGGCAACATTTTATGTTCTGTAGCCTGGTAATTTCTCACTTGTACCAACAAACACTTAAAAACACATTTTCACATCAAGCTTCAAGCTCTAACTTCGAAGGCTTATTTGCTTTTTTGCTGAGAGTTAGGTGAGAAGATCATGTCTGTGGCATCAGTTAGCTTAGCTTAGCACAAGACTGGAAACAAAGGGTAACAGCCAGCTTGACCCTGTCCAACGTAAGAAAATCCACATACCTGCACTTTTAAAGTTCACTAATAAGCCTGTTATGTCTTGTTTGTTAAATCTATACCAACATTGTGATTTTACAGGTATGTTGAGTCTTTATGCTAACCTAAGCTAATCAGCCTATTTACCATACAGACATGAGAACAGCATCCATTTCCTTATCGACCTCTCAGCAAGAAAGCAAATAATGTTAAACTACTCCTTTAAGGGTCTGCTAAATAGATCACTAAAAATTGTACTATACAGCATGTGCATCATTTACAGCCTGCTAATATTTATGGCTGACATAAAACAGATGTATCTACTGTTACAGAGATATACATTAGAGCAGTCAAGGTTATTTAAGCCACTCACAGTGCTTCAGTTTGCAGTAGTCCCAGGCCAAGCGGTTATTTGGATTGGTGTAACACCAGGGGCCATGCTTGTCCCGGTCTGGGTTCCGGCAGTAGTTCTTCTCCAGCCCTACATGGGATACTGTAGAGTGAGAATCCCCACTGTAAAACACACAAATACAGATTCTCATATTCCATTTGTTATTTTGCACACAGTGTGTCAGAACTAACACTGGTCTTTGTCTCATTTAGATTCATACACACTCTCACACTCACACAAATACACAAGTATGTGCATACATGGAGTAGCGCACAGACTGATATGCACATACAGTACATACACACTGTAAGTTACCATGGTATGCCTGGAAAGTCTGACTCTGGCTTTCCTATAGTGCAATGAATCCTCTACATTCGCTGCATTCAGCCCGTAGAAGGAGAGAGTTTTGTGAAGAGTGCTCATGGGAGTATGAAAGTATGCACTCTAAGCATTCAGCAGGGCTCAGACCAGTAGGAGCCACATCCTCTATGGAACAACTTGGTTGTGGTCCCGATTTGTAGGAATTCACATCTAATCGTGTGTCTCTTTAAACATAATCTTCTACGATACCCAAAATATCCCTAAGCAATTACTGGGTAAAAATAATGCAAAGCGATAGACAACAATTTGTCAGGAGGTGAAGATAATTCCACTTCCCAGGAGAATGTTAAACAAGCTGCAGCTCTCAGCAGTTTTTCCTCAGATGACCCTTAACCTTGAGCAGGGTAGACTCGCTGGCTGCAGTCTACGCAAGGGAGCTGATTGGCTTTGATCTACCTTCCTCAGAAAGCACTTCCTGGGGTCAGGGGTCAGCTCTGGAACATGTCCATCTGTCTGTGCCATTTTGGCTTTTAAAATTCCTATAAATTAAGTAATTCCAACAGCTTGACTTCAGCACGAAGCAACAACCCTGTAGTGGGCAACCTCTCTGTCAAGATGGGTCACTTGGAGAGCACCCCGGGGTTTCCTCTCGTCAGTTAGATGAATAATAATTGGGCCTCGTATTGACCCCTGAGGAACCCCTGATTTCCTCTCACTGTTTGTTTTCACTGCTTGGCTTCATTCATATGAAAGGGATTTTCACAAGGCAATAGGAGGAAAAGTTGTCAACAAACACTCATCAACTGAGCTGAAAAGAATGTCAGCCTCTCTAGGAAACATTTCCAGTGATTCTTAGCACAGCTGACGTTTGGCTGAGAGTTAGCAGGAGGAGACACACAACTAATTTATATGCAGAATAAATTAGTTTCCTACCTGTTTATATGATGTGACCAGTCTGCGCAGGGAATCCCAGAACGAGTTATGGATAAAGTTCCCCGGTATGTCTGTCCGATGTCTTCGTAACACTCTGAGGAAAAACATGATAAAGTTATTTCAGACCACCTTGTTAAATATTCCCAGGAGCACATAGAATTACTGAACCCAGCAATTTCTGAAACACCTTGAGCGGGCAAATTCAGAAACGCACAGTCAGAGACAAAGAAGAGATTTCTCTTTGTGGTTTGAATCAATTTAATAATCAACGGCCCCAGTTCTCAAATGTAATAGAAAATTTAGACCTCACTATGTCTTTGCTTAAACAGAATCAGAGGAGGGCCTTTAGTAACTAACTGACTGGCCACTTTGTGACATGTGTGGTCTTCTGAAATGTGAAGCAGAGAAACATGGGAAATGACAGAGAAGAATATTGCCAAAGTCTGGTTCTTCCATGAAATGGAATGCATTGGGCAGCACGCTGCCAAGTGGCCCAGTCCTACGGGAGCAATTCAGAAAGTGTCTGTGTAATTTCACTTCACAAAAACATGACTTTTCAAGCATCTGTACTTCAGTATTTCACATTATTTAAAACATAACTTGCATAGTAATTTACTCAATATTTACCATTCTTTTGAAGTTTGGAACTGAGAAAAGGCTAAGTAGCCTTAAAGGAATAGTTTGACATTTTGGGAAATATAGCTTTTTTTCATCTTCATCAAGAAAACAGATAAGCACATTTCCCAAAAATGTGAAGCTGTTCCTTTAAAATTCTAGTTGTACAATAATTTACCTATTTTTTGTGTGGCCTCAGCATCACACCTGGGGATGTGGGTGCAGTTGGCTATCCTCTGATTAGGGTCTGTAGTGAAGCACCATGGGTAATCTGCACCATCAGGATTACGACAGTAGTTCTCTCTCAGGTCTCTGTAACACACACACAAACTACAATTTAAATGATGGTGCTGATGACTGTAATCTTTTTACAGCAAAGCTATCAATTTGTAGTTTCACTTTCATCACTTTCAAAATGAACAAATCACCTCCTTGACACAGCAGAGAGAACTGAACCCAAGCTGCCATGAAACAAGCATTACTCACTTGCATTTGAAGTTCTGAGGAAGAAATGAGTGGTTATGGGGGAACTGAGAGTCCCAGCGCTGACATGTCACGCCCTCAGGAGTGACATTCATTGTGCCTCGGTAATCGGTGCCCTTCCCCTGGACACAGGATGTTGTTACATTGACATCTGTGTCCTCACTGGAGTCCGATTCTAGCAAAGAAAGAAAAACACATAGAAACTGTAACTGTGAGTGTAGGCATGAGAAAGAAGGCAAAGAAAAACTTGCAAAAGAGAGTGAGATGCAAAAACTGAAGGTAGAAAGAAGGGAGGGAGAGAAGGAGGGAGATATTAATCCTCAGAAGAATGTGTCATGTTTAACCTAGAGACAGATGATCAAAAACAGTAGCACCCCCCCCCCCCCCCCCCCCCCCCCCCCCCCCCCCCCCCCCCCCCCCCCCCCCCCCCCCCCCCCCCCCCCCCCCCCCTTTCCTAGTCTCAACTGCGATAGGAACCTTTCTGTGTATTCATAACACTGGTGCCCCACATTCTTGCACGTAAGGACATCCACAACAATATGCGGTTATTTAACTTGCTGACAGCACAAAATGTCACAGGTTGTTGGAAGAAAAACATAATTTCTATACATACACCATTAAACATAAAATTCTGTTTCTGGCGAATTTGTTTATTGCACCAAAGATATCACATCCAAGCCAGTCTGTCCAGGGCAACTTTATCCACCGGAAAACTATTCCAAACATCTTCAGATGGAATTCTGCTTTTCAGCAGAGCAGGAATAGCAGCACATAGGGAGCGACTTCTCCCCTCCAGATTTCTGTCTCTGTTTCTTTAGCCTTTGACAAATGAGATTGGAGAAGATGGAGGAGGAAAGGGAATGTTTTGAGGCAGAAAGGAGAAGGCGGGTGGAAAAGAGGGATTCTTTAGCTTGATGTAATGCATGCCAGTGTCTGTGTGCACTGTGTAGTACAGGTCAGTGGTTTTTATCTTTCTGAGGGCAGGCATTGAGGGATACACACATCTGGACAAATGCAGATCCTCCGCCCTGGCTGTAAATCATAACATGTACTGTAAAGTACATGTGTGTATGTGTCTGACAGAGACAAAGAGGGATGCTCTGTGTGTTTGTGGGTGAGCATGTGGGAATATTTCAATGTGAAAAAATGAACAAATTCTCCAAAGGTGTGACCTCTTTGGCATCCGTTCTTCTTCTTCTCTTTCCTCTGTCTTTTAAATTATCTATGAAGGCAAAAGTTATCTACACTACAACTCTGTCAGACTCTGCCCGATGTGAGACGAGTCAAGTGAAGTTACATTATTTTTGCCCTCATCACACTCAAAAACCTTACAATATCAAACACATTGGAGGTGCAACTGATGATTATTTTCATTATTGATGAATGTGTAGATTGTTTTTATGATTAACCAAGTATTTGTTCAGTCACCGTCTCAATTTCCAAGAGCACATGTTGATGTTCCAATTCGACAATAATATTCTAATCAGTGACAAATGAAAGGAAAACTCAACATAAAGTTTCTTAGTAAGGAACCGAACAGCTTCACTCTCCTTCACATCCATCCTACAAGTCTCTGAGCTCCAGAGCACCAGATATTCTCTAATTTGGTATTTTGATGTTTGGTGGTGAGTGTCTTCTGACACGCCAGTCCAAAATCTCACAGAAGTCTTCAGTTGTGTTTTCATGCTCATCACACCATTCATTGACCCCCTGAGCCCTGCATGGAGGCATCTGCAACTGTTTTGTTCTTCACACATTTGTCCCTTGTCTATATCTGTCATTATTTTAAAAGCCAATGTTCACACAACTAAAATGACTATTAGGCCTTCCAGTGGCTGTGTGAGGCCTCACAGTATAGTAGCCTCTATTGTAATCCTCAACTTCATAGCCCCTTGTCATCTGTGAGTGGTCTCTCTGAAGTCAGACTCTCCCATTTACAAACAACCTATTTACTCTTCCTTGTTGAGGTAGGAGGATTTCAAGCCAAGCACCACATGAAACACCCAGCCGAGTAAACAAAAGTCTTATGAGACTCTGCAGGGGAGAAGAGGGAGCTTTTTTCCTCAGCTGACCGCAAGTACCCCAAAACCACAAAAGTCCTGTATGTAACAAACCCCCTGGTGCACTCAAACCACTTTTCGGCAGTACCGAACTGGCATCTGCCTGTCCAAAAACCAAGTCCACTTTTGAATCTCACAATGGATTCCTAACTGTGTGACACAACTGTTAAGTTGTGAGGGTACTTCACTTTGAGAAATACAATAAACATAAGAGTCATGAATCAGAGTATAACGATAATTTAGCCTTCTGCTGATTTGTTAAAGACTCTGTCCACAAAGCCCAAGCCCCAGATTTGAGTATATAGAGTACATAGATCCGTACCACACACAGTGATGTTGCAGTACTCCCATGGAGTTTTGGGATCCATGGTGTAGCACCAGGGACGGAGACGATTATCCGGGTTTCGGCAGTAGTTGTCTTTTAAATCTTTGTCCCGATACCTGAGAGAGGAAACAGAGAGGGAAGAAAAAATTAGGAGGGAGAGAAGTAAGTCATAACAACTGGTGAGGTCTACCTCTCTCGAGTATTAGCGTCATTTATGTAAGCATCTGTCATGGGGTGTGTGCTGGTGTTGTCCGTGAGAAAGGTTAGCATGTCATTATCGGCTTTGCAGCTTACTTTTTGGGCTGGAAGTGGTGTTTGTGAGGCCTTGCTGAGTCCCATCTCTGGCACTCCTTGCCGCTCTCTGTATGGTCCATTTTGCCCCAGTAATCCTCCCCATTACACGTCACACAGACTTCTGTCAACAAAGAAACAACATTTATCGAAATCTTCTTTCAGCTAGTAATGAAAGCAAAGAAAGGTTTCTTTCTAACATAAGCCTGAGTTAATCTGACTGAATCTTATTGTCCGGTAATAATGTTTTGGATGGTCTTACCCTCTGAACACTGTGGTACGCCACACTCCTCAGCTCGTACGTTGGGGTCTGTGGTGTAGCACCACGGACCACCAGGATCGTTGTTGGGATTCCGACAGAAGTTCTCCCTCAGGTCTTGCGTTGGGTACCTATCAGGATAAAACCTACAAAGGAGTAGACACATTTATTGAAAGTGTTAACTGATACTGTAAGCTGTATAAATAAATGTTAGGGAGTACTTGCACACTTGGCTGCTCCAGTAGTATATACAGTACCTGCCTGCTGGTGCTCTCAGTAACAAACCAAATAAATTCAAAAGGCATTTACATTAACATGTAAGCTTCAATCTGTGAAATTGTGGCGCTTTCAATGTGACCAGGTTACATTTTAAAACCTGGAATGACCGGTCATAGCAATCGTATGCAAAGTAAGACAATATGTTTCTCCTCTCCAGATTTGCACCTTTTGCATGATCGCCTTACTGATTCCTACCATATCCCAGCTCCCTCATGTGTGTCTGTCACAGCACAGTGACCACCAACAGCACAGAACAATGCTACGAACCACTTGGAGCAGCCCAAGCAGGTCATTTACTGGCAGCCTTTGAACACGTTTAAACTTAATCCCTCTCTGTCAACTGCTACATCATGTCAGTGTGAACGAGCGACTGTGAGACTGTAAGAAAATGAATCTGGCTAGTCCAAACATATGGGATGGAACAATGGGGAGTGGCATGGGATCCCCGTACTAAATGGACGGTGTGTGAAATTCGTCTTCTGTCAGCGCAGGATGATGAAAAGCTGGCATGTCAGCACCCCCTGATCCATGCCGACCACATTCCCCCCTCCCACCCAGGGAGACACAGAGGGAGGACAGGAGAAAAAGTTTTGGGCACAGGGGAAAGGTGAAAAGAAACAAGTGACTTAAGTGTTTAGAAAAGAAAAAGAGAGCAAAAAGTTGGGAGCTAAGTGTTTAACTGATGATGTAAAAAGAAAAAAAACACGTGCAGGATAAGAAAAAAGACACGAAAAAGGAACCAGAGTCCACCCTCCCTTCAGCAGCTTGTCTGAACAGTCTACCCCAGGCAATGACTCTTTTCTTGGGAGAGTCTGCTCTGTTCTCCCCTCTGTGCCCTGGGGCTTACGCAAGGCTTCAACACTAATGCACAACATCATTCAACCCAGAAGTAGAAGAAATCTCAGGCCTTAGCCAAAAAGAAAGAGAGTGCAAAGAAGAAAGAGGAGGAAGCTCTTCCAACCATATAGTAATACCTAGTGTCAAAATATTACAGGGTTAAGTTTAACACCAATATTTCTCTTATGCATTTAACTAAAACAAAACACTTGTTCCCCTCCAAAAGCAGCACTCTGCCAAGCGCCAAAACTCACATCTGTTGTGTGTAACTCACAAGCTCAATATATTTCTATCATACTACAGTATCCTTAATTTATAAATGGAATTACAAGGTTCCTCACATCACAAAAAAAACGCTGCATCTGGTGAGAGTCCGTAAAAGGCCGTGGCATGGGAGCAAGTTAACCATAATGATGTTGTGCTAACAGATGTTGGCCAGTTATTCATCTCCTTGCCAAAGTCTGCTCCCATCGGAGCGCAGGCAGACACTGTGCACACATGCTTCGCTCTGTGGGCCGGCTACACATATTGGCTAGATTTTGGAGATCACTAAAGATGAAATCTAGACCTGAAGTAACCGCTGCAAAATGTCTCGCAACATGCACCTGGTGATTGTGGAACAAACACGGTCATGCTTCAGTGCTACAGCATCCAAAGGAATAAAGTACTCAGAGATTAACGCAACACATAAATAAGGATTTTTGGAAGAAGGGTGCGACAACTGAAGTGTCCTGAAAGGAATAGTTTTGGGAAGTACACTGATTCACTTTCTTGTTGAGAATTAGCTTAGAAGATCAATAATGCTGCGCAATTTTGTCCGTTAAATATGAAGCTACAGCCGGGAGACAGTTAGCTTAGTTTAGTTTAGCTAAATTTAGCTCAGTGTAACAGCAAGTTTAGTTAGTGTGGTCAGCGGTTTCCCACTGTTTCCAGTCTTTCTGCTAAGCTAAACTAACTGGCTATTGGTGGAAGCTTCAAACTTACAGACATGACATTCTGCTTTAACTCTTGGCAAGAAAGCAAATGAGATTTTTTTTTCTTTTCCAAAATGTCTACCTTCTCCTTTAAGCAAAACATTAAATCCAAGCTGCAGGGGTGTGTTTCTGAAGCTAAGTGCGCTAACAGACCTCCCAGTGGAAACTCGTAGAAAAATAAATGAATGTCTCTACGGGGATAAATAAATGACTATGTATTATTAATAATATGAAAAGAAATTTTCCATTCCATTCCTTTCTCCACACTTGGCTTCACATCAATACACATTTCTCTCAGAGCCTCGGTTGAAACACTAAATATAGACAACAGGTGGAAGTCCCATTCCTGGAAGGGAACCTCCTGAGAAATCACCCCTGCCCCACGGTGATCGGTCAAGCGTGAAAATAATAGTTACCTGAAACTCAAATGGTGCGTGGTTCATTATGGTGGTAATTCTCACACAGCGGGACAGTCCCGTGTTAGGTAACCCCACGGTGGCACTAAATCTCCCTTAAGTAAAGCTCCCTTTGACCCTTTTGGAAAGTTAAAAGTTGTTGACAAGCCAGGGCGATGTTGTCGGTCGGACGATACATTTACCTTGTGGGAAGGAGACTGAGACCATGTGTCAAATAAACAGTGACGAAGGACTCCTAATGTGAAGAAGTGCTTCTGGAAAGGGAAGGGAGGAGAAGAGAAGATGGGGACCAACACCGCAATATGTTTTAATTGTTGGAGATCGCTGCACTTGTATTTTCTCTCAGTATGTCAGTGGCTTTGTGTGTTCAGCTGGACAACAGACAGAACATGACTTCAGTCTATAAATTTTTGCACTTTCCTTCTTTCATTCTACCTCCCCTCTGTACTTCTTCAAACTCTTATTACTTTGTCTCTCAACCCCCCTCCCCATCGCCGTTAAAATATCCTGTAACTAATGAGCACCACTAATGAGATGCTGGCACAGAACCATCTTTTCAAAGTCACTGATCTTGCCTCTCTTGTAGCAGTGGAAACTTTGGGATACACCTGATGGCCTACAGTGCAGCAAAAAAAAAAAAAAAACCCAGCCTCATCAGCTAGGACATCCCAGCATGTGTTGAAAGAAATCTGACTTAACCCTGGATAAACGTTCAACTGTCTCAGAGCCTCCACCTTCCCTTAACCCCTGAGGTGCAAGGAGATGATCTGGACATCAGTAAATCAGCTGCTGGGGCCTGTTTAATATCAGACACAGACAAATAGAGAAGGAGCATCCAGGAAGGTGGCGAAAGCCTAAAGATTAGAGATGACTGGCTTCGATGGCTGCAGGAATGTGGCCAGGGGAAATGAACAATTAACACCTTCTCCTCCCTAAAAACAACAACTGGCATGCCGCCGAGCAAGGCACTGAACGCTCAAGGTAATAAGTGAGTGTTTGTGAGCATCCCTCCCCTCATGAACAGCGCCACGTTCCCACATAAAAATGCACTTTTTATTGACTTATTCGGTTGAAGAGGAGAGAGGACTTACGTGTGCTCATTGATGTTATTATCTGACCAAGCCTGGCAAGTGATGTTTGACTTCGTCCAAGACCTCCTCCCTCTGTAGTTGTCCTTGGTGCCGATGATACACTCCCTTATATAATCTAAGCAAGGGGAAAGGCATAAAAAGCATTTGAAAACATTCATTCATGTTTTCACTTTGATACAAACTGTCCCTGTGTACTCTTTGTGTGCCAGTTTTCACAGTGTTTCAGCCATTTAAAGTTGATTTGCTCTCGCTGCCCTGAGCACCTGGAATATATTTTCCCATGTATGGTCAATAAGACTTTTTGCAGCATGTGTTTTAGTATGTCCCAGCTTGTGTGTTATTCCCAAAACAGACAACTCCCTGAAGTTCATTAAATGTCACAGGGGGGAGTTTCAGTAAATTTTGCAGTAAATTCTAAAGTGCTAGATTCCACAGCCTGCGCTTGAGAAAATCTTTGCGCTCCGACTGTAAACAATGAATTTTTTTGTTTACACACCACTTAAGTCTGCGGCATGTTTATGCGTGCGACTAACCCCACTGGGGTGATTAAACAGGAGGGGTAGTGGTGGTGAAGGGGGTTGGTTGCTTTTATTGTGTCAACAGAAAAACCAAATGCCTTTAAAATCGAGGAGCTGTAGCAAGAGGCACAACCTGCAATCACCAGGAGAGAGCTTGCCTGTGTAAATCCCTCTCTGCACCTGAACGTTCTCATGAGAAAAACACCAGAGCTCAAACCTTAAATGACACTGCCTCTGAAAATGACGACATTCACCTTTTTTTTCATACAAAGTAAAGTTGACGTTAGCCTGCTTCTTCACACCGTGGGTGAAACGGTCAAAGGGAAGCAAGTGGCATTTCCTGTTGTGCCTTTGAAAGTTGAAAGCCCTGTAGACACACATAGGAAGTGGTTGAGAGATGACCGAATGATAAGCAACAAAAATATGTAAATATTGTGTCTCTATACAGGAGGAGAAAAGGAGTGAGAGTGAAAAAAAAAATGTGCTGGGCTTCAGAGACAAGAGAAAGAGAAAGTGTAACTCACCTACAGTTGAAGTTTTTCTTGACCTTTTTGCACTTTCGGGCGCAGTGTTCCTGCGATCGACTGTTTCGTACCAAAGGGGGCTGAGGACAGTCTGTGCAAACCAGCATGTGGCCCTCAGTCTTCTCATACCTCTGTAATGACTGATGAGTCCTTCTACAGCAACCTGTGAGAACATAAGCACACAACATAAGAACACCTATCTGCAGGTTTTGGTGCCGCCATTAGATTCACTGTTAGGCTGGAAGGATTCACCTCGTATGGGAGCGACTGTATGTTTCTGACTTATACTGTTCACTCGACTCACCATGACTTTTTTCTGAAAGCTCCGACTTGGTGCTTAATTATACCGAAGTGGCAACAACAAATTTGAATGATCACGCCAGCCAGAGTGTGACGCTGAGGTTAACTGAACCTGAATTTAATGGATATAGCACTATATTGTCAATGTAAAGTATTTTTAACCACTTACAGTTTTCCTGTCTGTATCTACGCTGTCAGCAATCAAATGAATGCAAAAGATTCTAAGAAACCATGTGGAATTTTTTCATCTCCTCTTCGGTGAAAATCATTACTCAAATACTGGAAGACATGGCCAAATGTTTCTCTGCTGCTGTCAAGGTGCTGAGGATGAAGACGAACTTGTCAAAGCAAAGAGTTTTCTCCTGGTGGTTTGACTATTGGTTTCAGGGTTCTGGCATGAAAGATGTGGAGGAAAAATGAAACACTGAACCTGGTGGTCCGCTGTCAGTGAAAGCATCTTTCAACTGCAGTTTACTTCATGCTCCATGTTTGCTGGCATGTTATTATCTGCCCTGCTGAATCACACTGAAGCATCATTGTTCAACAAAATTGAACCCCTTAAACCTCCGCTGTTCTGCAACTCTTGAGAGAACTTTTTCTTTAGATCCTGCTTCAGTTGTAGCGGGCCAAATCGAGGTAGCAGACTAGTTTATGTGTCAGAAAAGCTGGTATGAAGTGTGTCCAGGATCAAAGCCCAGCTCAAGATGCCCCCCAGCACTCGAGCTTCAAACCAGGGTAGCTGCCTGAGAAATGCAGAGTGGGTGCTGAACTGTGAAGACAGCCAAGAGAACAGAATGATGTCCATCCAGCAGGCAGACGTGCCTCAGTTGGAGATTTGATGCTCATGAAAGCATATCTCATATTTTACTACTTTCAAGAGCCAAAACTCAACTTTTTTTCAAGTTTTACTACTTCATGGCATTTGTTATACTAAAGTTTTATGTTATTGTTGATAAATTTAATGACTATCCGTGATTCCTTCAGAAACCCATTGCAATAACTTGCATTCATGACTCCTTACCAGTCATGAAAGTCTTATTAGAATCCCTGCTGTTTAACTACAGTGACATTTAGTTTCTTCCTCTTCATTTTGAGCAACATTTGTTTTTTAAGGGAACAAAACAAGAGGTGATCAGAATCCTGCGTCCTGGGAAAGCTTCAACATCTCTCATCATTTCTATTAACTAATAAAGTTTTATGTTTCAATTTTTATGTATAGTCTCTGAGCTATTGGTACCTAGCGCATACTAAAAAAACTTATAGATTTTTCCACAGAGTGTGGAAAAATGCAAAACTGTCAAAGGTGCAAAAGGACATATTATAATTCATTCTTGTTTAATTTATAGGCCTTTGTTGAGAGCCATTTCTTTGGAAGAGCGACATCAAAAGAGAATTATACCATTGCAAAGACATAGCATAATGTATAGAGCATAATGTAAGAGATCCATGTGGGTTCAAAAGCAGGACAAAACCATATTTTCAGTCTAAATCCTCTGTGATACAAATCATTCATTTTTACCTACTGGAACAAGTTAAGAGCCCATCCTTCAGTAGAATGGAGCTCTACTGTAAACGCTGGTTCTGTGGGCTACAGTAAGATCTTCAGATGCATTATGTTAGTTACAATAGTTTTTTCCGTTTATAATTAGGGGCAAGTGCGATATAAATCACACAAGAAAATCTCATGCTACTGAGTTACAGCAACATGCTCCTGCGCCAAGATCCGACACAAGACGTTGTGTGTGTACTTAAGATATTGTAAACTGTGGAGCGTTTAGAGGCTCCTCGTGGATGAAAATGGTTTTCGGGGAGGACGTGTTATTAATGTTTGGGCTCCACTGGACCACATCTGGCACTCATCACAGTGTTGTTCCAGCCCTGATGTCTGGCCAGGCTGCTCAATTAGATTTCACTTAGTCTCTTCCTCTCCTTGCAGTCAGACTGCTGCTATCTCCAAATCCCGGGCATTTGCTGAAGTTGGAGATCATAATAAAAGGTGCTTGATGGGTGAGCATGAGGGACATGACATTTAATGAGAAGAGGCAGAGATAGCTTCGAGGAACAGTTCTGAGTTCTGAGTGGACAGGAAAGGTGAATAACCAACACTCTGACCTTCCTCAGACATATCCACTTTGGTGCTCTTGAGCAAACAACCGAAGTGTCAGCTGGATAAGTATTTTAGTCAAGCTTTCCTGTCAAAAATGTGAAATGAATAATCACACAGTGTATCAGTTTTAGGGAAATGCAGAGGAAAAGTTGTATTATATGAAGAACAGGAAAGTAGCAGGTTAAAGGTGTGCCTGTGTCTGGGAATTAAGCAGACATTACATCTGCTTCAGAGAGCGCAATATGTGGAACTGGGCTCAGCAGCCAGATGTTACCCCCCCACCCCTCTCCCTACACACACACACACACACACACACACACACACACACACACACACACACACACACACACACACACACACACACACACACCCCTCTTCTATCTCTCTGCCGGGACAAACGCATGAATACCACAGTCCAGGGCGCGCGTTTTACTTTCCCCTACTCCAGGGCAGTCAGGGGTCAGGGTCGGCACCCCTGAAGGTGGTAACTATGGATTCAGTGCTTTACTCAGTGACATGTCAGCGGGGCGGATGCAATAACCGGGACAGTCTGTGCAGCCACCAAACAGCTTGCGCTTTATAAAGGCGCAGCACCGGAGCTCGTTTGGATGCGTTTAAATGACGAGTGGTCGTGTGTGCGCCCCGAGCTGTGCTGCAACATTACAAGACGAGCTCTGCATCCTCTTAGTGGCTGGCGTCAGTCCAGCATATGCACGAGTGTCTATTACCGAATTGACCATGACCTATATAAAAAGTTTACTGACAAAGCAGTAAGATCAGCAGATGTACTTCAAACCAAGCGCTTTGGCACAGGTTTGTACCTTTAGGCAGCTGGAATGGCACGGCGTGCGTTCTTATTCTGGATGATGATCATTTTTTAAATTCTTATTGAATAATATTGCACAAAACAATTCAAATACATTAATTATACTGCTCTTTAGATCCATTTGATTACTGGCAATTAGACCCAATGGCACAAATACTGGAAGCTCCAGTGAAAACAATGGGTTCCTATAGAAAGTTGCAGTCTGATGAACAGCTCAATATTTCTTTCCATAACAGTTTCAAATGTTTGATCTTCAAAAATGTCCTTGAGCAGGTTCATTATACAGTGAATTTCCACAGCAAACAGTGAGCCCAATCGATGCAAGACAGGACCTGTGATCAAGTTAATTCAGTGCCAATCACCGTCTCAGTCTGTAATCAAAAACTGATTATGTTTCCATAAGAAGCTATACATTTTTATTGTAAGCTGCTTTAAACCAAGTCCTGATTGACAAAGTTAAAAAAAAGTGAAAAAAAAGTGAAAAAAAAGTGAAAGTTTAAAAATATGAGGAACTGGAGCGTTATTCTTTTTGTCAACTTTTGTCACTTGTTTAATTTTATTATTTTTTATTCTTCCGTGTTAATCTATTGATTTGTGTCTAATGCTCATTTCACTGCATAAACAGAACGCGGAAAGAAATGAAACATGTGAGATTTTAATATGACACTTATATTAATCACAATGTTCATGCAGATATTCAACATCTCTTAGAAGCGCAGCTCTTCATGTCTTACCTGTGTCCAATGTAGTGACCACAACACACACCAAAGCGTGGTAAATCCATACGTTTGTCCTCATGGTTGGGAACTTGGGAGCAGGTTAGAATCCCGATTAAAGGAGCGACAGACTCGGTGCTTGTGTGAAGTCCAGAGTGGCTGATGATCAGCACAAGACTCGCCTTCCTCTCACAGATGTCACTTTTCCAACAAACCACACGTCCTCGGTTCAACCCCCTTTTACACGAGTTTGTGCTCCTCTCTATCAGCGTGTCTCCTCACTGGTGTCAAGTCCTGTGGAATAAATTAAACAACTTCCGGTTGTTTTTTCCAAAATAAAATCGGATGTAACAAACATGCCTAATGTAATGCATTTTTCAACTATCAAAGTCTAGTGATATATTTTTCCTATTGTCAACCAAAGCCACTTAATCCCACAAACAAATATTATCTGTTTAGCCAAATTTCTCTACCATTAACCACCAGTTCTCACCCCCAAAAATTTAAAGTGTGTATTAATCCACATCTAAACATAGTCCCCAACAAATACAGTCTTTTTACTAAAAACTATAGCACCCAGCTGTTTTAGGTAATTACTGAACTCCCCTTTTTTAAGTTAAATTCAAAATTTGTAACACATTTTTAAATATTTCCATCTTATGAATCCCAGCCTTATAGCAGCCTTATTTTCTAAGGCTCTTGAGAGCTATTCTGTTATAAACTAAACGCAAATTGTTTTACTCAAAATTCTCCCAATTATCAAAAGCATTTTGACATATTTCTATAACAAGGCAGCCTTGAGATTACATTAATCAATAAGCCGATAGAGATAGAATAATGTACTTGTTCTGTACACTGCCCAATTTCAAAATGAAATTTTGCTGATTTGCTTTTATTTTGAAAGTAACAGTGCTCATGTAGCACTCATATTGTATTCTGACTTACTAAACTGCTTTGGAGAGTACACATGGCACCTATTTTTAATAAGGCATCCCTTGTGTAAGGTTTACAAACTGCAAATAATGACTTTACTAATTATTAATAAATCATTTAATAATGCTATAATGTTTTACAGATCAGTTGTAAATTAACAATTAACAACAGATTTTAGGTTGGCAGGCAATGAAAAACCTTGGGCTGGTGTTTATCCTCTTAGCTCTTCAATTGATCAGATAAACAACTCCAACAGACTTGAATAGAAGTGGTACTTTACACTCTTACACTGATGCTAAACCAGACATGGCTCTAAGATTGAAGAAGTGGTGGCAGTAACGGTGCTGTGCATTGGTGCCATGAAAATAATTTATGGACCTGCGTTGGGGCTGGTGGTCATCAGGCGGGACCTTTTTAACAATATCCTCTTTCTTGCTCTCCTCACTCGCCTCACTTTGGCTCGGCTAAAAAGGCAGATGGGATTTTTTACACGGTGCGCCAAGGAGCACTTGGAGCAAAGTAGTGATTGCGTCCTCAGTGGATTAGCCAGTTGCAAAATACCTAATGCAGTACCAGACATAGAACATATACAAAAACAAGCAGAAAATAGCTAAATGAAGTGTCCTTAAGCAAGACACTGAAACAGCACTAAATCCTGATGACACTGAGCTTCAGCCAGCTGGACCTGCTGACATGAAGAGGTCCTGGGTTTTCATGCTGCTCTTAAAGTTTATTCTCAGACTGTGTCATAACTTCAAAGCAGCCTCTGTCTTGGACTAATGTGCCCAATAAAGTGACATATCAGGAGACTCAACTGCACAAAACCAATTAAGTGATGCACTGCTATGGCACACCATGACACAGCAGGGTCAGCTCTTCTCATGAAAATCAAATCATGACAAAGTTATGAAGAAAAATATCTAACAGGGACTGAGGGAATATTTGTCCTGCTGTTCAAACAATCCCCATGAGAGGAAGAAGTATGGGGGCGGGAGACAGCGCCAAGAGTCTATTCATGGTTTATCCCAATGCCACATTACACTGACCCAGTACAGCCCCTATAAAGAACTATTGTGTTTGTATTATTTAAGGATACTATTGTAGAGAGCAAACTACAGCATGTGTAATATCCTATATCTTTATTATAGGAATATTACAATGATTATAGGAGTTTAAAAGCACCATAAAGGTCAGTAAGGTCACTATAAAGACAATATTAAGCACCACAGAGAGAGTATATATCCCTATAGAGACATTATAACACAAGAAGTGTGTCTGTGTGTGTTTTTTTAGGAGGGGCAGCTGGAAGTGATCCAATTTAGGTACCAGCGTACAGGACTTTTGTTGGGCCCTAACCCTTATTTGACAGGAAATCCACACTTCAGCCGTTAACGGGCGGCGGACTTAAAGCCCTCCTGAGAGAGCAGCAGGGGGAAGAAATGGTTTGAGGCAAATGCCAGACTCCCAACTCTCTCTCATTAAGACGCGTGCAGGTCATTTAATTTTTCTTTGGTCCCTTTTCTTCCCTTTGGTCTGCGTGTGTGTGAATGCCCAGGAAAGTACCAGCAGGTGTAGAGGTGTGTGTGTGTGTGTGTGTGTGTGTGCTCAGGGGGCTGCAAACAGCGGCTCTAGGTCCTGGCAGCAGGCACGTAGCTGCGCTGTGCACCATACACACATCACACCCGCAACGTCAATCAGTGTCAGCGAAAAGAAGAAATCCAGACGTTCAGAAAATCTGTCTTGGAGCAAATTTTTGTAGATTGGTACTTTTTGAACTACAGCTAGCTCTGTCCCATGTGTTTCACAAGCCTCAGGTAAATAAGTTAAGTTTGACAGCTGATTATGCATCAGGGGAGAGGATGTTGGAAGTGGGAGTGCTCTTTCATAACAGACCAAAGCAATGGGAGTATTAACTTCCATGATTTATGTTTTCACTCAAAGCCCCAGGCCTGTCGTTGAGGATTCCAAAATGTCAGTCATTCTGCGGCATTTTTAATTAGAACATGGGAAGTTTGGTAGCGCTATGATGTACAAGACTCATGAGCAACTTTATTTAAATACTAGCTTAAGATGTAATCAGTGTGACTGACATCAATTTCACAATTGCCAGTAACAATACGGTCCAGTTCTTGGAGAGTGTAATTACAAGCTACTTCTAATCAGACAGCAGAGTCATTCCCAAATGATTTCCAGGTAATTTGTGATCAACCATAGCAGATTCCAGCAGTCGTCTGTCGTCACAGGGATACTGAGGAATAACTTTCATGATTGTAGCCTTGCTTTGTTTGTGATGATTAATCCAACTGTTCCTGCATTTTCCAAGCGTATTTCAGGGGAGGAAAGTTGTAATGACACAATAGAAACTAACGTGGTAACAGATGTACTGTACACAAGTAATTTCTCTCTTGCAGAAATGGCTTCAGGTGCATTTTAGGTTTTCTATTGCTACATAGCCACTGTTAGCATTAACAGCTGTTAACTTACCAGTCTAGAAGAAATGATGCAAGTTCAGCTTCAAACTTCATTCCTTTACTCATGAGGCGCTGTATGTGGAAAGCAATCTTCTTGTTTTGCTTCTATTTCTATCACTTCTTTTCTTGTACTGAAGTTAGCATGCTAACTGGCTAGCCCTGGTCCAGTTGGACTGTCTTGTCACTCTCTGAAATCAAGTTCTCAAGCATCCAGCCACATGGCAAGAATGGAAAGTTGAGGGCTGATGCTAATGCTGGCTTGTAACAATAGCTAAATGTACGCCAAGCTCCTTTAACTGTCCCAGTTATTTCTTTTTTATTTTCTTTGAGCCAGTGTGGTTTATTGTCTGTGGGTTGTTTCAAGCTGTTCTACACACTCAGTACACCCCCCTTATTATTCAACAAACAAAAATATATGCTATCAGAATAATTGAAAATCACACACAAATTCTACACATAGTGGTTTTAAAAGCCCCATTCTGTCACTAGTATTAATCTGTGAATGTGGCTTTTTTCTTTTTGCGTTCCATGTGTTTTTTGTTTTTTTTAATCTTTTGCTTTCTCTCTCTTCATGACCACATAAACACACACCTATTTCATGACCTGCTGAGCCATGTAAAGAGGTGTGGACAGGGGAAGTTAAGAGGAGGGAGACCCAGAGAGTTCATCATCAGTGAGAGCTGGGAGGAAGGCAGGTTTCTGAAACCGTCCGCTCCCAAGGCCAGAACCTGTCAGCACTCACAGGATGCAGCCTCATTTGACTCGTTTTCTGACTTGGTCATTACGGCACTATGCCAACATGTGTGACTCTGAGATAAACTTGTTTTCTACACACAGCTGATGTGCTTATCCAGTTGGCAAAGTCAAGTCTTTGATTAACGACATTATGAGCAGTTGGCAAAATGTTGTTCTAAAGGCCAAACCCACAATTTTCAAACAACCAATGCATGAAATTGCTGTATACGTTTTTAGTGGGAATGAAACGTTCAGTGTATACATGCTCAGCTCATACACTTAATGCACCAAACATTTAGTATTCAAATTTTGAGCTGCATTCTTTTTTGGACAATTCTTATCTCCAGTGCCTTAGTGCTTGTGTCTCTATCTCTTCTTTATGATGGTAAAAGCTGTTACGGATTTTACCCAGATTCTGAGAAGGTTATCAGGGTCTAGGTGTCCATGCATCGACCTGGGGCATTATCATTAACAGCACTGACCATCCTACATACAGGATTTTACCCCTTTCCTTCTAATTACTTTACACCACAGCTGCCCAACAAACACTGCCCTCCTCTATTCCTGCACATGAAGGAGGCTAATCACCGGTGTGATCTCCCCCTTTTCACCTCTGACCCCCCCGACACTAGAATAACAACCTCCATACCAGCCCCCCAACTCCTCAATGCTTTCCCCCCCAATTAGGTGGGTGCTTTTCCCCTTGCAGATGACAGATGAGGGGTCGGGTGTTGTCAGACCCCCTTGCTAGTTTCTCCCTGTGCCCACCGAGGAATGAAACAGGAGGATGTCCCTGCCTTGGGGAGTGACAAGGAAAAAGGTTTAGCATTGGAAGTCACAGTGACATAGATAAATTACTGTCGGCGAACTGGGCGCAGGAGCACATAGAGTGGGGAAGTTGGGGTAAGCTGCAGATGGAAAATAAAACCTGTTGGATGGACTT